CGACTGCGCCACCCAGGCGCCCCCAAAAAAATTTTTTTTTTAAGAAAAAAAAGCAGTGCTTGATGAGGGAATTAGGGGTGGTTGTTATACTTTCTCCCTAACCTCCCCACCTCCAGTTCCTAATCCACGGTGAACCACAGGTTCTAGTGGCTGTGTCTTGTTTCTGCCCCGTGTGTCAGAGTGAGAAAAAAATTACTGCTCGTTGTATGCACGTGACCACTTACTGTCCCTGATCACTATATACAGTTAAACATAGCAGTTGTTGAGATGAGACCTTGCTTCAGAATCCTATGAATGGCATTTCTTCCTGACTTCTTTGTAACATGAGACATTTCTGTGTTTCTGTTGTCTAGAAGAATTGAAGCAACAGCCATTTCATAAAGTGTAAGGTCTGTTTATCCTTAGTTGCTGTCCACATCTAGAAGTATGACCTGAATCTGTGTCTACTCAGTACCCATTTTCAGCTGCTCCTCAGCAGTGTGTTGGCAATTTCCAACTGTCTTCAGACTGCTTCACGTTTCTTCTTTCCTCCTAAAGCGTGCCTCCTCACTAGCCAGTACTCTGTGGGTGTCCACTGCGAGTTACAGAGGACTAGGGAAGTAAATGGGAATAACTTGATGAGTAGGAATAAGCATGCATCTGATAGAGAAATAGATCTAGTTTTCTAACAGGATGGTGAAGGAGGGGCAAAGAGAAACAAATTTTCTAGCTAAGAAGAGGAACTTAATCCCGCTAAGTTCTTTTTGGTTTTGGCTGTCCTGGCCTTAGCAGCAGCCACCATGGTTTACGGTAATGCATGTGGTAGATTCCATCGCTTTTGCACAGTAACCAAACACAACTAAAATGTATGCATTGTAGTTAATGCTGTATCTGCCAACAGATAGTCTTTGAGAAATGATCAAACTTGAGGTTATAAAATAAGTCATGGGTGGGGAGGGCACCTGGGTGGCTCAGTCAGTTAAGCATCTGACTTCAGTTCAGGTCATGATCTCACGGTTTGTGAGTTCAAGCCCCATGTCGGGCTCTGTGCTGACAGCTCAGAGCCTGGAGTCTGCTTCGGATTTTGTGTCTCCCTCTCTCTCTTTGTCCCTCCCCTGCTTACGCTCACTTGCTCTCTCTCTCTCTCAAAGATAAATAAACGTTAAAAAAATAAAATAAATTAAGTCATTGGGATATGACATACAGCATGATGACTGTAGTTAATAACACTATTTTGTTTAAAAAGTGACTTGGTTCAGGACACCTGGGTGGTTCAGTCGGTCAAGCAATCAACTCTTGATTTCAGCTCTGGTCATGATCTCACAGTTCACGGGTTTGAGCCCTGCATCGGGCTCTGCACTGTGTCAGCACGGATCCTGCTTGGAATTCTCTCTCCCTCTCTCTGCCCCTCCCCCACTCGTGTGCGCACGCGCGCACACACACATGCTCTCTCAAATAAACTTAAAAAAATTTTTTTTAAGTGACTTGGTTCTTAAAAAAATACATTCAGGCTGAGGTTATGTGAAACTTAACATACCTCAAGACTGAAAGAATTCCACCATGTCGGGGCTTCTGGCTGGCTCAGTCTATAGAGCATGCGACCCTTAATCTCAGGCTAGTCAGTTCAAGCCCCATGTTGGGTGGAGCCTGCTTAAAAAAAAATAATAAAATAAAATAAAAGGATTCCACTGTGTAAAACAAGGTCCTCTTACATCATGTAATGATTATCCTAGGGCTTCCACAGTGAGGGCTCCCGGCTGAGGCTGGCATTTTTTTGCCTAAAGAGTTTATTCTTGTATCAACAATAGGATATTTTTCCATACTTTCCTTCCCATGCAACATGCCTTCCTTCTCATTTCCCCTAGTGAAAATGTATCCTTCAAAAAGTAGAGTCTGTAGCACAGTATCTTCCATGTTTATGTTCTCTTAGATCTCACATTCTTTCAAAGAAAAAAGACCCATCTTTTGTACTCTGGGACCTTCTCTCTGCAGGTGGAGCAGTTCTGGAGGTTTTACAGCCACATGGTCCGTCCCGGGGACCTGACAGGCCACAGCGACTTCCATCTCTTCAAAGAAGGAATTAAACCTATGTGGGAGGTGAGCACTGAGGATCTTGGACCACTTTTCTGAGTGGTTTTGTTGTTGTTGTTGTTGTTGTTGTTGTTGTTGTTGTTGTTGTTGTTGTTTTTAGCCCTGCCAAGGTTAAAAGTATTTAAAGTCTTCTCTCAAAGCTACATCACTATTTGGTGTATCCTTAGGGCCAGGACTTGTAGGAAAAGGCACTTGTAGGAAAAGGCACTGATGTCGTTGCTTGTCTGTGTGGGTGGTTTACAGAGATTTTTTTTTTTTTAATCACTAAAAGGGTATTATAACAATATTGAAAGACTTTTTAAAAAATTGCCTCTGGGGCACCTGGGTGGCTCAGTAAGTTACACGTGCACCTTCGGCTCAGGTCATGATCTCACAGTACATGAGTTGGAGTCCCGCATTGGGCTCTGCACGGTGCAGAACCTGCTTAGGATTCTCTCTCTTTCCCTCTCTCTCTCTCTGCCCCTCTCCCACTCGTACTTTCTCTCAAAATAAATAAACTTTAAAAAAAGAAGTACCTTTGTTCCCATCAAACTGGTTGTGTGTGCACGTGATTGAAGTGGATAAAAAGTAAGCTTGCTTACAGGCAGTAGCTGGAGACCCAGAGCTGAGCTCTGTGAACCCTGCTGTAATCCGTCTTCTGTTGTGACGCCAGGGCGTTTTTCTAGAAGACAAATGTGAAAACACACACACACACACACACACACACACACACACACACACACACACACCCACCCACCCACCCAGCTATAGGCCCTGTGCCGCTCTGCATTGCTCACATGACCTTGCAGTCACCCTCCAGGCCTCATCTCCCAGCGTGGCCAGGCCTTCCCTCCAAGTGCAGCTCGCCTTCCTCTTTTCATCCCCCTGACACACAGTCTCAGTTTGTACACAGACAAGTTTTTCTCAAAGCCTTCACCTGCTTTACCTGCCTAATCCATATGCCGCTCAAGACCCAGCTTAAATGTTTCCTTTTCTTGAGTGTTTCTGACTGTCTTGCTCCTCTTTAACTTAGTGTATCTCTTATCAGACTATATTGCTGCAGTTCATTTTCTTGGCTCTCTGTTCTTCCACTAGACCAAATCTAGGTAGAGACTGTGTCTGTGTACTTGAGACCTGGTGACACTTGGTAAACTTTTAGTGGATGAAGGAAGGAATGATCAGTATTTGAAATCTGACATCATTTCATTTTGATTCCTAAAGTAGTTCCAGAAAAAGAGGATTTTTTTTTAAAAGGTCAGTGTAGCCATTTATTGTAATGGCTTATACCAAGGATTCCCCCTTCCTCTCCCCCCCCCCATTTCTTGTCTCCCTAGCCCTACCACCGTTTTTCCTATAAAATTGAATAACTGGAAAGCAACAGGACTTCTTAGCATTCAAGGGATCCTTGGCTTTTTCTTGCCTTCATGCAAAAGTAAAAGAGCTGTGAAACCACACTTTAACTTTAATGCTTTCTCTCTTACACAGGATGATGCAAATAAAAATGGTGGCAAGTGGATTATTCGGCTGCGGAAGGGCTTGGCATCCCGTTGCTGGGAGAATCTCATCCTGGCCATGTTGGGGGAACAGTTCATGGTTGGGGAGGAGATCTGTGGGGCTGTGGTCTCTGTCCGGTTTCAGGTAAGCCACCCCATGGGCGGGTCTGCTTTCTTGTGTTGCCTTTGCTCTCTTCAGTGCCTCCGGCTTGCTTTGACCATTGCTTCTGTTCCTCCTATAGGAGGACATTATTTCAATATGGAATAAGACTGCCAGTGACCAAGCAACCACAGCCCGAATCCGGGATACGCTTCGGCGAGTGCTTAACCTACCTCCCAACACCATTATGGAGTACAAAACCCACACCGACAGCATCAAAATGCCAGGCAGCCTGGGCCCCCAAAGGCTCCTTTTACAAAACCTCTGGAAGCTGCGGTTGAACGCGCCATGACCCTCTCCCTCCCTGGATGGCACCATCATTGAAGCTGGCAACATCGGAGTCTCTTGTTTTGTTGGCGTGCTACCCAGAAGATCCTTCCGTCCTGGACAAGAGGAATTGGAAAAGCATTTTATGTCTTAAGAACCGGCTGACACGCAGCAGCTACAACAACAGCTGAGATCACTTAATAAATGGTGCTAAACTAGCTTGTCTCATGCTCTTGCTCTTTACGGTGCATCAAAGAAGTGGCCTTTCAGACTGACTGTCACCTTATTAAGGAATGGCACAGACTTCTCCATGGAGGGCCATCTGGGGAATGCAGCCTCATTTCCATAAGCCCATTGTAGTGTCACATGGTATTTTGTTCCAGTTCTGCTGAGGTCTGACATAATGAGGTGACATCTCGCTCTCAAAATGAGACCCCATTTTCTGGTACTTGAATTGTAGTTCCCATCTGGTCACGCTGATAACCAGAACAGAGTGATTTCGGATTCGAATTCAGCTTGAAAGTCTGTTAAGGTTGGAAAGGGGGATCCTTGGCCTTTGCTTCGCTTTGTTTGCCTTTACTTCAAAGAAATCTCTTGCTCGGAGGTAAAGCCCTGCTTCTGTCTGTGTGTGGCTGTGTGTCTGTAGTTTCCTTGCTTTGTGTTAACAGGGTTTCCTCACTGTGCCAAGCTGCCCAAGCCACAGGCTCTTTGCCAGCCTTCTCCCTTCTGTTTTCCGTTTAGAACCAAATCATCTTCCTCTTTGAGCTAGTCCTGCTTGCAAGGTTTCAAGGTTGTAGCCCTTCTCCCAGGGTTATTGTGCATCAGGATCCAGGGCGGGGCAGTGTCTTCATCCTGTAGGAGTTCGCTCCGTAGGCTGGCTGACTGTGGGACATACCGGCCCCTCGTTGCTTTGTGGCTTGGCTTGTATGCGCTGCAGCTCGGCCTTCAGGCGCCTAACCTGCATGTAGAATTCCAGCAGGCCTCATGTTACTTGAGGTCTTCTTGGGAGCTACTACCAAAACCAAAAAGGAACCGTTTTTATAGAACTTGAGGTCAGGTTGCCTAATAGCATCTTGAAGGTGGCCGTGGGGGTAATGTGGAGTTTTCCAAAGCGGCCATTCCGTTTTGGCAGCAACACCCGTGCTTACACATTGACCACCAGTCTCCATATGGCCCGGGATCTCACAGAA